CACTACTGTTGCAGGCCGAGTAGTCCAACAGTATCCCATCAAACTCACTATTAAGTGTTATGTTCGTTTTAGGTGAACCTGGAGATGATACTTAGGGTTGAACCCATACTCAAACTCATACAGATCCGACCACGGAGATCTAACAAAACATGTTACCATTGAATGACAATATGGAAAGATAGGTACAACTAGTCAACCAATGGATCTCCCTGTCCCCATCCATTTCATGTTTACATATGCATTCTTGAACTCATGTCCTGAAGATGATGACACATAAAACAACAAGAAGTAACTCAGGATCACCCTCATAGCTCTCCAAGTGTTCCTGTTGCAGAAAGTAGGATCAGATGAGACTTCATATGCCCAGTAATTGAAACATAAATTAAAACCAAAATATATGGTAAACCTGAACTGAATCTTAACCAATGATTCAGCAATTTTTTGGCCGAAGGTGAGTGTTTTTCTTCTTCTACAGCAGCTGTATTATCTTGCATCTTTCTGGGAGTTTTTGGTTTACTATTTTTGCCCATCTTATGGACCCAAAAGCTGCATTTCACCCAGATTACATTACTGAGAATTGATAAAAAAGAAAAAAATTCAAAAGAAGAGATGACTCAACAATTGGAGCCCCAGAAAGCAGCATACTCCTTTTGGGTCAGTTAACCAGACCAACTCAGTTTGTAAGAGAATATTTGTTCATCATCAGCTTCATAGCAACCAAATTAACATAACATAAACCAAAACAGAAAATGGAAAATACTGATTTTCAGATTCTATGGAGCTTAGATTCAAGTTTTCAGAAAATCGGCCGCCTAGGCAGGCTAGGCGGGCTAGGCGGGTCCTTTTTATTTTATTTTATAAATAGTATAGCCGTGCGGCTATACGCTTGGATTAAAAAAGTATGCCCTCCTTAAATAATAGCCGAGCGGCTGTACCCTTTAAATAATATATTTAGACTGTATAGCCGGCGGCTGTACTTCTTAAATAATATATTTAAAGAGTATAGCCGGTCGGCTAAACCCTTTTTTTTATTTTTTTATTTTTTAAAGAGGACCTGTTTGAAGAGGACCATAGAAGTTGCCACCGATACCAACAGCAATGACATCCTTCAGTGCTTTTCCGGTGGCACCAACTTACCAGAATTGCCAATTACTTCACAATTCAGACAATATGGACCCAAAATGGATACTAAAAAAAATTGTAGTGATTACCCCAAAATCCAATTCGAATACTCTCAAAAATTGTAGTGATTACCAAACTTCCAAGGTTCATCCTAATTTATGGAAACCAAAGAGTGGCTTAGAGCTGATGAACAATGACCTTCCCAGCACCAAAGGTATTCTTGAAATTTTCTTTTCCCAACCAAAAAACTTCTGTTTGCAAATTTTTCATGATCTAACTCATTGTACTCATAAAAATCTGTTGCTTAAAAAGGCAGACGATTAAGAAAATCAAGTTTTCGAAAAATCAGCCGCCTAGGCGGGCTAGACGGTTTCTTTATTTTATTTTATTTTAATAAATAGTATAGCCGGACGGCTAGACTCCTTAAATAATACATTTAAAATGTATAGCCGCCCGGCTATACTATTTTTTCTTTTTCTTTTTCTAAATTTTCCTGCGCAAGGTTCATTCTTTCTTATGGAATGGATGTGCCTGGCTGCCAATCGCAACTAGTGTAAATTTCTATCGACACCCATTTCTCACCCACACTTTAGGTTCACTCTCTGGTTTTGGAACATGGCCGGAAACTTGAGAATTAAAACTTAAAATCTAAGCTCAATTACCTAACATATCAACTCTGTCAAGAATGGAGTGCACTTAAAATCTAAGCTCCATACCCTAAACTCTGTCAAAGATGGAGTGCCACCACTCACCAAGAGCCACTTTTTTGTATGTATATTGACAGGATTATTGCACAACTCTGATGGGTCGAGATTGAGTCCAGATGATCTTGATCACATTTCAACCTTGTCACTTGAGCCAAAACTCACCAATCTCTTTTGGACAATTGATCGGGATCACTAGTTATAAGTTTGGGCTCAAGTGGGATTGAATCTCTGAGAAAAATTAAAGATAACCAATACATGATCTGATCTGCAACTAAATATAAGAAATCGGAGGTTGTCCATTATTAGTGGCAATCTACAAGCAGGAGGAACCCTATGAGGGTTCATGAAATGCATATTTACTTGAGTTAAACATTACAGTCAATTTGATGAAAATTAAATTGCTTAATGTCTCAAAGGAGAATACATCTTCAAGCATCTACCTTTGCCGCTGCAGATGCATAACTTACTCTACTGTCCCTCATAGTTTTGCACTGACTCAGACTGCTCATATCGGAGAAAATTGATCTTTATGCTCGTTGAACAGTTCTTCAGCATCTGAATGCAATGAAATATGATTGAAAGGGATGAAATAATGATCAAAACCAATAATCTAGATGCAGTTAACTGAAGAGCTGGAGTCAAACTTATGAGCAATGAAAAAGAACCATTTTGCTGTCTAGGTAAACTAAGTTTAATTCTTCAAAAAATGACCCTCACATTTTTCCTCTCAACCTGATTTGATGTCTCCAATATGTCAATATGAAATAGAAATAACAGTCGCTACTCGACGAAGACCCTCACATAAATTAGGGCTTTACACTCATCCTAGTGGAATACAACTCAAATGCAGAAGTAGAGTCCATTTACAACTCACCTTGTTGCTCATACAGAGTGTAAAGACAAACAAAACAATTGAGCTAAAGGAGTCCTATTTGTACAAGGATTAATACATGATATGTACTGTTAAAGTTGGGAGTAATACATCATTTAATCTGTTGGTTGCTGTATTAATCTAAAATGTGAACACAGAAAGCTATACAGAATAATGAAAGACCATGTGCAGAGCCACTTGCTGAGGAATAAACATAAGGATATCATATTTATGTGATAATAAATGCAGAACATGGAGACAAGACTGTGTGCTCAAGAAAAACATTCGACAGATTTCTTTATTGGGAAGAAATCTGTGAAGAACACGCCACTTCAGTTATAAATATGATAGGTCCCTGCTCTCTCGATCACACTGCAGAATCCACCCCCTCTAGCCCCATTGATTGTACTGCATAATGAGATCGTAGAGTTGCAGAAGCATCTGTCATTGAAGCAAGCATGCCTTCATCATGTAAGTGATCAAGAGGTATTGTGAGTTTCCTAAAGACTATAGCAGATTTTTTTTCAGTCTTACACTAGTTTTCTTTCCTCAAAAAAAAAAAAAAAAAAAAAAAAAAAAAAAAAAAAAAAAAAAAAAAAAAAAAAAAAAAAAAAAAAAAAAAAAAAAAAAAAAAAAAAAAAAAAAAAAAAAAAAAAAAAAAAAAAAAAAAAAAAAAAAAAAAAAAAAAAAAAAAAAAAAAAAAAAAAAAAAAAAAAAAAAAAAAAAAAAAAAAAAAAAAAAAAAAAAAAAAAAAAAAAAAAAAAAAAAAAAAAAAAAAAAAAAAAAAAAAAAAAAAAAAAAAAAAAAAAAAAAAAAAAAAAAAAAAAAAAAAAAAAAAAAAAAAAAAAAAAAAAAAAAAAAAAAAAAAAAAAAAAAAAAAAAAAAAAAAAAAAAAAAAAAAAAAAAAAAAAAAAAAAAAAAAAAAAAAAAAAAAAAAAACCGCTCGGCTATACTCTTTAAATAATATATTTAAAACGTATAGCCATGCGGCGGTACTCCTTAAATAATATATTTAAAAAGGATCGTGCCACAGCTGTACTCCTTCTATACTTTTTTTTTTTAAATAATTATTTTTTCCTGATTTTCCTTTATCGTAGTTTACAAAATTATCCATTACTATTATGCCATTAACCGAGTCTCTATTGTCCCCTTTTGATTTTTTACTTATTACCCGTATAAAGAATTCAGCATTTTCCTATTTGGTACTTATATTATACACGTAAGTACTTATTTTTCAATAATACTTTTATTTTCCGTACACGTCTTAAAGACTCGGTGAAATATACTTTTAAAAAATAATAATATATGGGGACGATGAAGCCTTTGGAAGATGAAGATAAATGGGGTATGTTGCCCGTTGGTTGACAGCAAGTTGGAGAGCTGCCAGCCTGTGGAATCCGATTGCATTGTCCCAGCTTGAAAAAAGCCCTTGGTGTGTGATCTCTAGATAATAGAGGCCTAAACATAATAAGATCTCATCTCTAGATAATGTATGTTATGTTGTTTAGGCATTAGGGGCAGTAAATTATATGAATCTAAAATAAATTCAGGACTTTATTGGAAAATTTGCAGTCATGATTTCTTGTAAGTTGTAACTATTCTTTCCTGCGCAAGGTTCATTCTTCTTTTTTATGGAACGGATGTGCCTGGCTGCCAATCAATGTCGTTGACCAATCACAACTAGTGTAAATTTCGATCAACACCCGTTTCTCACCTAAGCCCTAGGTTCACTCTCAGGTTTTGGAACATGGCCAGAAACTTGAGAATTAAAACTTAAAATCTAATCAATACCCTAACATATCAACTCTGTCAAGAATGGAGTGCACTTAAATCTAAGCTCCATACCCTAAACTCTGCCAAGGATGGAGTGCAACTTTTATTTCGCTTTACCACCACTCACCAAGAGCCACTTTTTTGTATGTATATTGACAGGATTATTACACAATTCTGATGGGTCGAGATTGGGTCCAGATGATCTTGATCACATTTCAACCTTGTCACTTGAGCCAGAACTCACCAATATCTCTTTGACAAAGAAGAACAGGGTCGGGATGATTGATCGGGATCACTAGTTATAAGTTTGGGCTCAAGTGGGATTGAATCTCTAAGAAAAATTAAAGATAACCAATACATGATCTGATCTGCAACTAAATATAAGAAATCGGAGGGTATCCATTATTAGTGGCTACAAGCAGGAGGAACCCTAGGAGGGTTCATGAAATGCATATTTACTTGAGTTAAACATTACAGTCAATTTGATGAAAATTAAATTGCTTAATGTCTCAAAGGAGAATACATCTTCAAGCATCAACCTTTGCCGCTGCAGATGCATAACTTACGCTGCTGTCCCTCATAGTTTTGCACTGACTCGACTGCTCATATCGGAGAAAATTGATCTTTATGCTCGTTGAACAGTTCTTCAGCATCTGAATGCATTGAAATATGATTGGAAGGGATGAAATAATGATCAAAACCAATATTCTAGATGCAGTTAACTGAAAAGCTGGAGTCAAACTTATGAGCGATGAAAAAGAACCATTTTGCTGTCTAAGTAAACTAAGTTTAATTCTTCAAAAGATGACCCTCGCATTATTCCCCTCAACCTGATTTGATGCCTCCAATATGTCAATATGAAATAGAAATAACAAGGATATCTTTAGGTTCCTTTCATTATATTTGCTGCTACTTATGACAGCTGCATCCCTCACATGTTTGTTAGCAAATGCCTTAAATTTGTCTCCACAATCCAGACACAGTAGTATAAAGGTCATTGAAACATGAATGTAACTGGTGTTTTTCATTGATAGGCATAGCCTTTCCAACTGAAAAGAGGAATATAATCCTCAAACACGTAAAAATCGCCTCCCTAATTTTTCAGGCTTTTACTCTGTTTCATCCTAGGGTGTCATATTCTCACATCAGTTATAATATGTAGTATTTTCTTTGCCAAATTTAAGGAACAATATTTGAACTTCTTCCCTTTCAGACACTGAAGCCAATACTTAAGGTACTTACATGCAGAAAAACACTAATTGGGTGGCGCCCACAAATGGTGTTATCAAACTCCAACAGATACTCTTTGAATGCATCTGGATTTCCAGTTTCTATTATATCCATTCCAATCCTGTCCAAAGCCTCAATAGATTTGTGTATGGCCCCATGTTTCTTGTCATAGTGCGTGTAATTAAATCTGAGAAGGAATAACAAGATCAGGCATGGTTAACAAGTATCAGTTCAATTTCAGTCATATGTTGAGCAGCCATGGCCAGGGAAGAGAATTAGCAAAACATGCAAATATCATGTAACATAGCAATGAATATAACCATGAAATAGCATCCATGAAGTAAAATTTAAGTCGAAGCCAAGCAATGCAATAAAAGTCGTGTGTGTGTGTGTGTGTGTGTGTGTGTGTGTGTGACAGAGAGAGAGAGAGAAGCCCAGAATGCATATGTAGATAGACACTGGCATTTTGGACAACACTCATGTTAGCTAACAAGGACTAAAATCTAGCAAACCATGAATGGAACATACCGAGACCCCCAATGACAAAAATCTGACGACACCGAGAAGAAATTTTGTGGATCATCCACATATTTGCCAAGCAACTGTCCATACATGGCTTCACTTTCAGCCTTAAGAGCACCAACGAGAATGGGTACAACTTTAACTTGGTGCCTGCATCAGTGTCGTCAAAAGTCAGCCATGCCATAAATAACTATAGAAGAGAACTGTGCTATGAACAAAATTAATAAAGATATATTGAAAAACATACCCCTCAAAAACTTTAGCAAGATACGGTAAGTGCATTTCCATGCTATGTTCAGCCTCATCAACGCGAATATCCATCAGTTCAAATTTTCCAGTTGCTTTTAGCTCCTCAATTACTGATAAGTGAAAACAAACAGAATGTTAGAAAACCACAAATTAACAGGGATGAGTTAACTCCTATAAAAGAAGCATTTGGTAATTCATTGAGAAGATATTTTATGCATTGATTGAAAAGGGAAAATGAGCACAACCAATTTTGTGCTGCTTGAAACTGGCTGGTTTCAAGTGAAATTAACAATGCCCCGTAAATTTTGTTCTAAGTCATGCATGTGCCAATGTGGATTAGAAATTAATTAGTAATTGAAAGAAAAAAGTAAATCAACAGTGCGGAAGACCAAGACAAAAAAATAACAATTCCAAGTTACCCAGATTTAGACAATGAGATTCACACTACCTTCCAAATCGATAGTTAGGTCCCCTATGGGGGTCTTGTAAACTGTGGCTGTTGAAAGAGCACACTTTGGAGTGTAATAGTGGTGAGATGGACCAAGAAGGAACACCCGGGTACTGAACAAGCAAGTTTCTCTCACACATTAGCAACAATTTGACAGCTCTTTGCCATACCAATCAATCTTTACAGGTTTAATTATGCGTCAAAGCACAATTACTAGAACATAATCAGCTCGCATTACGATCCTACATTATCAAAATAGCATTAGAGAACTAACGAGAAAACAACAAGAACACAACTCACATGTTTGTTGGGTCTATGTTGCCAAATGCATAGGCAGCAGCACGACCTGAATATGAATAACCTGCATGCCTGTAATTCCAAGGCCAAACACAGAAAAATACAAACAAAAACAAATTATTTTAAAAAATAAAATTTCAGCTTTTATTTTTATTTTTATGAATTATAAGCCAAAATGAAGAAGAGTAAGAAGCAAAGCAGGTCTATGTTAACTTACGGAGCAATGACACCTCGGACATCAGGAGATTTAGTGAGCCCAGATTCTCTCAGCCATCCTTCAAGTTCTTCCGACAACTTCCTAGCTGAAAAATGAAAATTGAAAGAATAAAAATGTATTTTTTTTACACAAATAATCTGTAAATGAATTTTCTCAAAAGCAACCAAATTTGATGACTTTTTTTAGTTTTACTGCCGCCGAAAAACAATTAATTCAGCTGTATTTATATTCAGAGAGGCCAAAGGCATCAATCAGAAGGGTCTCATTTTCTTGGGATTTCTCGGCAACCAAACAGATACTGAGGAGGGAATTAGAGTGTGCGAGAGAGAGAGAGATACTGACGGTTATCGGTGTACCAGGAACCAGCATGCGATGCTCTTCTGGCTTTCTCCATAGATGGAATTTCGGAGGATGAAGATGAGAAGGAGCTGAAACCCTAATTAACAATAATATGTGCAAATAACTGAAGTAACAGAGAGTGAGAAAGACACAGAATTGAGATGCCTCTGTGTGTGTGTGTGTGTGCAAGTTGCCTTTCTTTATGGGAGAGCTTTGGAGTTGGAGAGACTTGGAGAGAGAGTGGTGGTGGGTGCGTGACGTGTTGAAACAAAATTAGAATTTTTTATTTATTTTTTTTCAATTTGATTCCGCGGAGCCAAACTTTTGTTGTTTGCACCCTTCTCATCTCACTCCTAATTTTCTCTTTTTCTTTTTTGTTATTGGGTTATAAAGAGATTCCATTACGGTTTATCTTTCTCATCACCACGTAACATATCATGTGATAAAATAAATAAATATATATATAATTTTAAGTATCAAAGATGAAAAAGTTTTTTATAATCACGCAACGAAAGAGATACAAATCTGTAAATGCACATGACAGCTCTCAGTTAAACCGAATTAATTGATGGTCGATTCGAGTCAGTTTTTTTTTTACTCAACCTTTCGACTAATCAGTGTGGAGATACAGGTGTATATACACTTCAGTGTGGACCAGATTTCTGTTTCGGCCTAGCCTGATCGATTGATCCAAAAAAATATCAAAAAAATCGAACTCTTGTCATGAGTGTGGAATAAAGTGTTTTATCGCTTTAGCTATAAGCCCCAGTACAGATTGGATTCAAACGAAATCCCCAGCATTATGTAGGCTGGCGTCCAATGCCTGAAGCTTATACGGTGGTATTCTTCTTAATGCATGTCCAGGGAAGAACAGAATTCAAATTCAATCAAACAGTTGGGGATGAACGAGGTAAAGGAAAAATAGCATTCTCTGCTATTGTATAACAATCGCAAATGTCACAACAATACAACTTACAAATGACACTCTATGATAAATGACAACAAACTTGGCCCAATAGGCCACAGCAAGCAGCAAAATAATGTTACTGCTGCTTATTCTTTGAATGAACAAATCCAATCATATACCCTATTCCCCCAAAACTTTGAAAATTACCCTAAAGAATCTTACAACAAAACGAAACAAATGAGCTCACTGGCTTTTTGCAACCCAGTCACAAACACTCAAATTCAAACACTACAGAAAACTTTCTGTTTGCTCCCAAAGCAAACAAGACGCTGAACCTGAACACAAAAGTCCATTGACAGAAGAAAAGACCTGCAATCACCAAAAAGTAAAAACCAGAGAGGTTATGTTTCATTCAGTATGATATATGATTTTGCACCGACCATGAAGATTCAAAGAAGTATAAATCAATGTAAAACATAACATAACCAGATAATGGTTGGTAAATTAACTACTTAGAAGCTAGAGGCATGGATTCTGAGTAATAAATCCGCTTGAAAGTTAAAACTATGTCTGTCTTCGGTTAAACAATGAGCTTTCAACATATTGTGCGGTCTCAAAAATCCATGTAAATTCTATTACAATTCATCCATCTTCTAAAGAATAGCAAGAGCATGCCAATGTTAAATAGTTTTAAAAGGCAGCATGATTATAAAATTCTCAAATTTAAAAAGACAAGTTACCTGTGCAACCACAGAGTCTGTGAAAGTTGAACTAAGGCAACCTGAAGAATTTGTTTTCGCGGAAAGCCTCTAAAGGATACCCAACTATCAACAAAAAAATTCAAGCATGCTCCAATATAGAATGAAGTTTTGGAACCCGGCGACGCAGCAACGGCTCCAGCCGAAAAGAGGGAACACCAAACTGCCACCTCTTAGCATCATACATTTCATTCCACGCCTGTATTATCTCATCGATTTTGAAGCCTAAACCTGCATTTAAATGAAAATTGATCATATGTTTCAAATTCTAACAGTTGTAAAAAATTTGAATTAACATGTGTCTTTTACCTTCTAATGCAGTTTCATTGGAACAGTGGTTCTTCATCATTACAGCTATATCCGTTGGAGAGGCTCCACAAAGCTCAAACTTCTCAACAGAAACTTCTAAACATTCCTCCCAACTTGGTAGCCCTAGCTTATATTCCACAACAGAACGTTCATACAGCACGGTTCCCCATAAAAGGTATATCTGTGACTTCATATTTGCAGCCTGCTCTGCAGCTTCATCAGCAGATACCTCTTTAAATAGGCCATCCAAACCCAATTTCTGCAACTGCGCTTTATATTTATCTTCTTTGGCAAGTCCATTTAGACGCCGCTCTTCTATCTCCTCCCACATCAGCATGCCCTTCTCCATGCTGTCCTCAGCCTTGTTATAAAGCTGAAGCACCTCCGAAGAAGGCTCCGTTTCTAGCTCAATCTTGCTTCCAAGCGCATAGTACCAACAAAGCTTTGCTTGGTCGAACTGTTGTTGCCCGAGAGCAAGATAACCTTCATAAAAGTCGGGTTTTATTTTCACAGCTTCTTCATACCTACCCTCTGCCTTCTTATACTCTTTCTGTGCCCAGTCATAGCCAGCCTTGATCTGTTCAATAATGGAATCCCTTGAAGCATCTTCTGGAAAGGACACTCGCTTCCTTGCCTTGGACATGTGGACATTTCCCCAATTAAACAATGCCAAAGCCGCCATCTCTTGGAACTTATTTGCAGCAATGTCAAAAAGTTCTTGAGCATCCTCAATTGTTACAGTGTCCTCCATTGCCTCTGAGTATAGCTTCACTCCAAGCTCATGAAGATCCAAGTAAGCATCAGAATCGAACCCAACATGGTTCTTGAATAACCTTGCAAACTGGATAATCCAGTCCTCAACAGAAGTAAACCTTTTCTCCACTTCTCTATCTTTTTCACCATCCCCATTCTCTACAACATTGCTTGGTTCTCTGTCTTCCTTACTCAGCTCCTCATCACTCAATCCCTCATAAATTGGTTCTTGATCAGGACTAACTTCTGCTATAAATAACCTGAGTGACCCCTGCATATCACATGATGATTCAGCTATCCTCAACTCATCTGTAGTAGTGATTGTAACCAAATCGCCCTCTTGGTCTCTATACTTAACAAGAACACCCTTCAAACCAGGAAACCGATCCCTAACTATCCCCCTGACCAACCTCATGCTGCAATTCAATGGCAGTTGTGCCCACCTTATATCCTCTCCAAACACCAACTTGACTGTCTTTGTAACTACTTTTTCTTCCTTAACATGCTTCATAACCACTTTCTCTTCCTCAACATGCTTTGTAACTACTTTCTCCTGCTCAATGGTCTTTGTAACCACTTCTTTATCCTTATCAGCACTCACATTCTCTTCCACAACGACATTATCCTTCCTCTTCTCCTCAACTTTCTTACCCTTCTTCTTCTTCTTTAACTTCTCTTTCACCACTTTACGAAAGCGGGCAGCAGGAGGCTGCGGTACATTAGCAATACCAATTTCTTTCTCATCAAGAACAATACCCTTTTCACTCATCACCTTCTTCACGCTCTCCAAAATCTCCAATGCACTTAGATTATTTGGTTCCATACTCAAAACAGTATTAACATCTCTCAATGCCAAATCCAACCTATTCAAAGCCTCATAACACTGAGATCTTCTTAAGAGTGCTTTACTGTATCTAGGTGATACCTCTAACGCCAAATTACATTCGTTGATTGCTCGAGGATATTCACCAAGACCCATTTGCATATAACATGCAGCCATGCTGGTATGTAGATGAGCAACTTCAATATGATTCTGTGGGAGGAGTTTGAGGGCTTTTTCAAACTTTAACATTGCGCCTTCATGATCACGCTTTTGATAAAGTTTGTTACCTTCATCTTTGAGTTCTTGGGACATGTTGATGAAGATTGCAGTGTCTTCATCAAAAGCTTTGGAGTTTCGATCCGAGGGCTTGCTCAGCTTACTGCCAGCATTCCCAGGCTTTTGTACCTCCTCATCTTTCTTCTTCCCAGTTGGCTTCCCCATTGCTATTGAAAAAATACGCAGACAAAGAAGAAGACCCCAAAAACAGAGCTTTTAAAGCTCTGGTTTTATCTTATCCAAAAACCCTTTCAGCAACTCATAAAATAAGGAACATTCAAATAGTTCCCTGATAATTAAGCAAAACCTTAATAAACTTGCAGCTGATAAAACCCAATTCAAAAGTATTTAAAACTGTGATTAAAAAAAAACAACAACTCCAACAATTTAACACACACAAAATAATAATAATAATAATAAACCAACCCAGAAATGGAAGCTTAAATCATTTTCATACACAAAGTTTCAATCAAAACACACATCAGAAAAAAGCAATAACGAAAGAAAAATGAAAAACCCAGACCCCAAATCCTAATTCCAGAAATGAACTACAGAAAAAAAAACAATGGAAAGACAACAAAAAAATCCAGTCTTTTTAACCTGGCTTCTGTTCTCAAAGCTCCAAATCAGCAATTGGTGGATAGTGATCCAGAGACAAACAAGAACCCAATCAAAAATTAATTGAATTAGAATGATTGTGCTCTGGAATTGTTGAGAAGAGACAGAGTGGATATCAATGGTGTCTCTGGCTGCAGAACAAATGCAAGGAAACGACATTTCATTTCATCCTGGAAGGGGAAGTTCTCTCTCCTAGGGTTTCCTGAACTAGGTCAACGTTCCAAAGTGGGGTGGTCGTCCGCCACCTTCCATGAGCGCGCGTGTTTCTAACGCCCCTCTTCACTCTTCAGCCTAATTCGTCGGATTTTATGCCCATATTTCTTTTTCCCCGCCATATTTATTAATATTATTAAATAATTTTCTAGAATTTTGTACAAAACTCCCAGAAAAATAGAATTCAAGCCAGTAGCGTGTACACCACGCGCCTGAAGGAGCTGGGGCGTTGGAGTAGCGCCCAATCCAGGGTCAAACATTCAATTACCCAGCTGTAATTATTTTATCGTCATTAAGCTTAATATAAGATATAAAATCCCAGTGGGCTCCACCTCCCTTCTAGACGACAGAGCATATTCCACTAATCCAGCAAAAGAAGCACTATTAATTCCTCACGTGGATAAATATTTCTCTTTTTATTTTAAGGAATAGTATTAGGTTTTCTCTTCTCTTTTTCCAAAGGAATATTAATTTTATTATATGGTACGCATCGACACTACACATACATCAGCAAACAGAAACCATCATCTATGGAACTCGTTTCAACCAGTTCATATTCGTAGGTTGACACGAAATGACCCGTTAACGTAATGTAATAAATTTGTAACCGATTCACTCGAAGCGATACACTTCAACTCGGACGTTGGTACACCGATATTGCCAGTTTCAAATTGTGTTTGTAAATTTGGTTTTGTATAGCTTAAAAATAATCGTGGGATGTGATGATTGAGATGAGCTAGGGAGGGGTCTGGTTAGTGGTGGCTCGTACATTAGTTGTGGTTATGGTCGAGAGATAGTGCTGGGTAATAATGGTGGCAAAGCTGGCAATGGTGACCTACATGTGTTGGCAGCTCACATGGCACTGGAAATTTGGAAAGAGTAAAGCAAATGCAAATGCTGTTGATGGATCAACACTGAAAATGCATTAGAGATTATTGGTTTAAACGAAACGAAACCATAGGAATCTGCGAATGAAAGCAAAATTGACAACTTTTCAGTTTCTTTTATTGACCAGCAAGCTACATACGTAACAAAGGAATGGTTGCTCGAAATACATGCGAAACACACAAAATGGAACTTTTACGTTTTACATTAGATATAGGGGCAAGAGGAGGAGCACATTACAACAGTTGAATGTCACTGTTTGAGCTATAATTTATCTAGCTACTTACAGGTTTACATTTTACGAATTTACAAGAGGATTCATCCCCTTGAACTATCAAACCAGTATCAACCTAACGTTACCCGTAGGGTCCATGCAGCCAAATCTAATTAGTCGAGAACCATGATTCCTGTATCCACGTGTTGAGCAATGTCCCTTCCCCGTTGGTGTAAAACTCTAACAAACTCGGCTAAGCTTAAATTTCCATCTCGGTTCGAATCAAACACATGGAAGATGATTTCGACCACATTGTCAGTGAGAGATACGCCACAAACCTGATATTCAATCAACACAATCACGATAAATAATTTGGATATGGAAATCTGTTGCCTACGGAAGATAATCAGAACCATATGTCAAATTAGAAAAAGAAGACTTATCAGTGACAACTTAAGGCAACAGTTCCAAAAGGCTCTGTAAACTTCCAAAAAGTTCTGGTAACCTTGTCAAAATGTAAAACATTAGCCATGGACCCAATTAAAGAAAGTGACAAACAAGAATATCTTACATGAGAAGCAGCTCGCTGGAAATCCTCTTGTGTTAACAAGCCATTTGCTTTTCCATAGCTGAAAAGGGCCAAAGACAATGGCTGCAATTTTTTACGAAGCTCAGCAAAACTTTTGAATTCCTCAAATGTGATGCGCACGTCTTTAAGATGTGGTTTATTGTTCAATTCATCAACCCGATTGAGCAAATTGCTTAAATGAGTCATGTCGGCAGAAGCAACCATGGACAAGGCAAAGTCCTTTGCCAATATGGTTCCTCGTAATTTATAGTCATAGTGAGCAAACTCCAACCTTACCATCTACAAATAAGCTCAGTAGTCAAATACAGTGTGAATTTTGAATCAGAACAAATTTCTGGGGTAAAATGCATTCCGAGCATAGCATAAATTAAAGGAAGCATTACGGCTTACCTCAATTGAAAATATATTAACACATCTGCTATTGAAATCCACAATAAACGTTAAGAGTACTTTTTTCTTTTGGGTGGGGTAGCCTAAACCTAAATGAGTAGAAGGTGAGGTAAGTTCTGATATAAACTAGAGGTCAGGCAAAAGCAAAGCAATAACACTAGAGTGGAAGGATAGCACGCATATAATGCACAATGTCAATCTTATGCAATAAAATTGATGTAGTAAACTTAAACATTCTAAAATTCAAGGGAATCACAGAATTGGGAGCTTACTTCATCTTGTAAATCTCTCAAAAATTTGACAAATTTATCAAGTTGGAGGCAATCCTTCCCATCTTTACCAAAAAAGTACTCGACAAGCCCTCCATTTTCTACAGAACCATTGACTTTTAGCCCAGTTCGAAGTCCATGCCTGTGGTTAGCACCCTGTCTATTGCAGGCTCGCATCAAAGCCATCACTTTCTTGAACTCTTCCTTATCGATTTCTCTATGTATGGATATAAACAGTCAAAGTCAAAACCGTAGCGGAAGTAAGGAAGAACAAGAAGGAAAAAGAGAATAGCCTCAAAGTTGTTTAATACCAACCCACTATCATCTGTGTCAAACATTTTAAAGGCGACATAAAAACTTGATTCTGGGATGCTTAGTAGTGTCACAAAGAAAATATATCTGTTACAAAGAACATTGTTAGAGGGGAAAAATATCCTTCATTGATTCATTGTTTACACCAAAGGCCATAAAAGCAGCAACTTACTCTTTAAAAGAAATATGCCCATCATTGTTTACATCAAAAAGCATGAAAAATTCAGAAGGAGAACAGCGCAAATCTCCAGGATTTCTTTCCCCTCTCAAATATCCATCTCTAACAAGGTGGGACTCAGATGGAGGGAAAACCGGAACTACTGCCCTCATAAGATCTTCTGGCCTCATAAGTAACTCTCCCTCTGGCGTACTAGAGGATGCAAAATACTCAAAAATCTTCATGTCAAACAGCATATGTCATTGGACAAGAGGTAATTGTTCATTAATCAAAGCCCCAATGGTTAAATTTTGCTCAACAAAAATTTAAACTTGACTGTCAAGCATATGCAAAGAGTTTAGGATTTGTAGTCAATAACCCAGGACATGAGATCTACCTCATCAGCCATTGTCAACTTAACTTATAAATACTAACACGAATCGAATTGTCATAGTTTTTCAAATTTGAAATAAACTTTTTGAACTGTATCCTAGTTCTTGTAATTCTTTTCGACACGAGGACTTTATTTCTAAGGCTTGCTTAACATACTGGCAAATTTGCCAATGACAAAATATGCTAAATTAGGCGCTAATAAACAATTAAGCAACATAAAATCAATAATTATATAAGCTCGTGTAATCATATTAATATGGATTACCTTCTCAGGCGGACTTCGCAACCTAATGCGTTTCTCATAGTTGAAGAAGATCTTTCTTCTATAAGCATCTGCAATAATCCAACACCAAAATCAAATATACAAATACGATATCCAAAAGAAACTGAAATGCTCGAAGTAAGTAGAAATGACTTGCCTCCGAAGAGAAACCTAGCGGTAATTTCGGGCAAAGAGAGTTTCTGAAACAAGGAACTCGAAGGCTGATCCTCCAAAGTTTCTCCCGGGACCACCGTTGACCAATCGGCGAAAGTCAAGACCGAATCGGGAGAAGACCAGTAGAGAAGCCCTAGCCCCGAGCCCATAGCGAAGCCCGAGATCCATTTGAGGAAGGAGCCATAAGAGGGGTTTTGGTGAGGTTTAGAGTAGCTCGAGGCAGTGATCAGAGACGAGAGTGACGATGATGATGGCTGTGGTGCGGTGGACAAGTGGCGGATTGAGAACCGCTGGTGGATGGACGGTGTGGATCTTGTTAGGGATTGTAAACGGGACATGGGAAAAATTGTGCGAAATGTTGCAGAAGTGTGGACGGAGACGACGACGTTGTGAAAGTTAGTTGGAGAAGGTACGGTGATATATGGGGATTTGGGCTATCTGATTTTAGATTAAAACCAGGGGCGTGCGCGGACGTACTATGAAGGTCTGTCGGTGATTTAGCTATGGGCCTGAAAAGGCTCACGTTTGATTGAACCGAGCCCATACATTTTAATGTCATTTTCGCTTTTGGCCCAACCCATATTTTAATGCCCTAGCCCAACAAGTTTGACATGTTGTGCCCTAAATGGTAATTTAGACCCAAAATGGAACGCTTGGAGATTCTCTCTCCCCTTTTTGAACCAGCGTGAGCCACAACACACGTTTGAATTTGTTGACCCTACTTCTAAATGATGGCATTTTTTTTGGGGGAGTACTTCTGAAATGATTAAAAGTGTTCTAAACAGCCACAAGTAATGTTGCATGGACACTTCACTAAGCCCCGTGTTGGACACTCGAATACTAGGACACTTTTGCACAACGGTTAACATCGTGTCTACAGTCAATACACTCTTTGGACACGAGTCAACTTATAATTAGAGTCAACTAATATGTTAATTTAATTATAATTCATATAAAATTAATAAACTACATTTGAAAGGCTTGGAACCCTTAAATTTCACTATAATCTTGTGAAATTGAAGTATGAACATCAATATTTTGTTTTCTTTTAACATATATAAGTTTTACTTTATTTTTAATTGTCGCGTCCACATGTCCTAATTTTTTGAGATTTGCCGTTTTCCCATGTTGTCGTATACATGTCTGTGCAACATAGACCACAAGTGCTTCTTATTGCATTTGATATGAAAAATAAAACTACTTTTTAGAGAAGCACCTAGTATATGCTTATTCATAAAATGCTTATGAGCATAAGTGTTTTCTTTACAAACTCAAAGAAAACAACCCGAAATAAATAACTTAGGAGGTTTTATGTACTAATTTGTTGAATCCATAAAGATTGTGTACCAACTTAAAATCAACCATACATATAATTTATAAAATTTTATCAATTTAACCCTTTTAATTATGAAATGAGAACAGGGGATCGTCCTCCTAAGAACACAAAAATGGGTGGTGTATATGTAAAGTTAAAGATTTCATGAATGTTTGTTGATGTTTTGGTAGGTAAAACATCCCAATATGCACAAAAATACGTTGGTTGTTATATGTTCCAATTCTTAGACTAAGGCTTGTGTGACGAAGGGAGGGCCACAACGCTAAATATTTAAAGTCATTTTCACAACTGTGTAGGCAAAATTGCTTTGACAGTTGTCAGATTCTAGCAAATTTGATTTGATTTTAGTAAGAGTAAGGGTGAGTTATGGGTTGTCGTATTGTTGAACCTTTAGGGGACCATGTCAGCATGCCAAGCCTATGATGTCTCCATATAGTCGGCTATGTGACAAACACAGAGCCATTATCTTCTCACAACCCAAAAGGGCTAGGGCTCATGAATAATTTAAAAGGTTTTTTAGGTTTTAGACATAAAAAAAATTTCACTTTTAGAAAAAACTAAAGTTTTTTCAAAAAAGACAAAAAAACCACTCAATTTTCAAATCAAAGACATGCAAATGTATTGGATTCCTTATAAAATTTAAAAATAAATAAGGGTATTTTTGTCCATTTTTGCTTCTTTTAAAATTTTTCTCTCTCATTTGCTTTTTCCAAAATGTCCCTAATTTAAATCAGTCAGTTTTCCCCTAACTCACGTATTGTGTGTACATTTTTATAGATCCATGGAGTAATTCAGTCAAAGTGCATGTCTTGTTCATTCATGTCAATTCGATTTCCACATTTTTCTTACTTTTCGATTAACAAAAAAGTTGTATTTAAGAAAGTATCTTTGCTTCTTGTTGTTCTTATCATCATTATTGATATAATCTAGACATAGTAAAATTTGGTACTCTTCTCCTCAATTAACTTAAATCATTAAAATTCATACCTAATAATTTCAAAGTGTTTAACGTAAAGGCAGGCCTAAGAGTTAACTATGATTTTATTTTATTTTTCGTTTAAATGTATGAACTTGCTAAAAATCACTGCTAAGTTCATAATTTCTAAGTATTTGCACTGCGTTAAAGCACACTATAGCCTAAAGGTGTTTTTGTCCTTAATTTAACTCATAAGAGGATTTCTATAAACGTACAGATGATTTCTAGATATTGATGTATGTGAACCACAATAAATTCACAATCAAAATCTCCCACACGTGTGTGACCAATTAACCGTAACAAACTTTTTTTTCTGAAAAAAAAAAATACGAGGTAGGAATTGCATGTAAATCCTGCGAGTTTGCCTTTTGTTGTGTAGCCAGATCGAAAGGGTCTTAATTGGTAAAGCTGTCTTGTTTGGTCCAATTCGAGTTTAGGTAAATTTATTCAGTAACTAAAGATGAGGCGTCGTCAACCTCAAACTCAAACATCTCGAGTGACCCCACATCCGTTCCATACAAGAAAAGAAACATACTATCCTTTTCCTATTCCTCCCTTATCCAACGACATCGTATCGTGGATGCCACTTTCACAAGTAATTCAATGGAAAGAATTGGACGTGTGAACAACCACCTCAAAAAAGTTTTTGAAGATGCTTTCTCAATCAAAGGTCTGGTCCACATTGATTTTTGATGGTCCATCCAACTCATTCGTCTTGCTTTTTAATTTTTTTCTCTTTTGTTTTCTTTTTGGTCCTTGTATTTTCACTTTTTTCCAATCATGGCACCGATCACGCTTGGCGTCAGATTAACGTAAATAAATGCGGCCAGGTCATGCTCTTTGGCCTTTACTTCCTTTTCTGCTCCTCCATCACGTCAGCAATTAATGGAAGAGAGCTGTATTTTCACTGAATGTTTTCATTCAATTTATCCCAAATTGATGCTTTCCTTGCCAGTATTGGGAATTTTTACTGTTTTACTTGAACAATTTGAGCCACATACCCTTCACGGTAACTTTTCTTCATAGAGTAAATATTTTTGTTATTTAACTGAGATTTTTTTATTTTATTTTATGTTTTAAATGAGATTTTTTATTTTTTTGTAAATAGTCATATAATATTTCTTTTAAAGTCAGGAGTGTTGTAGAAGGTTCATTTGTCCATTTCGTCCTTGCTTCCACAATTGAGTTCAAGGCCATATTTTCAAATTTCAAAGCCTTCAAAAGTCCATGAAAATTAGTCAATAACTTCACACCTGCATCAGAACCGCCAAAAACAAAAACAAAAAGTTTGAAATTTTCAAACCAAAGCAACAAATAAGTTAACAAGTCTACAATATAAACAAATAATAAACACAACACAAATAGTATTAACAAACAGTAATAATTAATGGAAAAAGAAAGAATATACCTCGCAAAAAGAGTAACGCAACCTTGTAAAGCACTACGGCAGACTGAACGGAAAACACGTAACGGAACACGGTAACGATGATGACGACGGCCAACGGAACCCATAACACGGAACTGAACGGAACGTACGGTGACGGAAACGGCAAACATAACGGATAACCCCAAATGCTGCACACACAAATGGAATGAACGGCTGTGTCACAAAACCAAACTGAACCAAGTCTTTGCAACTTCTGAATGCAAATTATTACTCTGTTAATTTTCCTTAATCCAGTTTTAATTGGGAGATTTGTTTAGGGAAAAGATTAAATGTCCGAAAACTGTCCTTCCAATTTTCCATAGCAAATCATATCATTCAACTGTACAATATGGAGTTTCTCTTTCATAGTGTTTCGGCGTGACGCTCCGTAACCCAGAGCGCAATACTCGCCGGCTCGACTCGGCGCCTCCGCTTCGTGACTCGCCCGAGTTGAGTTGAGTTGACCTCAGCTAAAACCGTCGGATCTGCTCGGATCGATAGCGGCGGGGCTGCGTGGCTCCGAGTTGACTCACCGGGTTCAAAGATCGGAAAAAAATGAAGAAATGACTGGAAATTAACCAACCTGACCTGTATCTTTCTGTTACTCTGTAAAACAAAATCAGAGAGATCATCGCCAATAGTAACTCAGTCACTTGTCGTCGGTGGTGGACATGGCCGAGAGCCGGCTCGGCCTCGGCTGGAAGCCGGCTCTTCGCCTCTGCTGGTGGGCGCAAGGGCGGATCAGAGCGGTCAGGGCTCGCTTCACCCACTCACCTTCGACTCCACCGATTCGAACCAACGAGTTCGTCATAGCAGATCTGCGCATGTTCAACCTGTTCGTCGGATACGGAGCTGCGTTGTGACCTCCGCCGACGTTCTTGTGAAGGCTGCAGCGAAACGACCCCGGATGCGACGTCGGCGAGCACATACAGGTCTTCTTAGGCATCGAGATCGGGCCATTTTTCTTCGAAACGGTGATGGATCGATTCGAGTGATTCGGAGAGATCGAACGGTGGTCGATGGAGAAGCGGACGGATGGAGAAGGGGCGGAGGAGGTGTACAGGTTGACACGTGTCGGGGAAGAGGATCGGTGGTGATGGTGGTGGTTGATCTGCTGATTGTAGTAGTGGTGGTCCTTGTGGTGGCTGAAGAAGGCGGAGGTCGGAGATGAGAAGCTAGAGCTTGTGGACGAAGCAAAGCCCGAAGCGGAAGATGAGATGGAGGCATTTGAGGCAGTGTAAAACCTTCCGGAAGGTGAGAGCGAGCGAAGAACTGGTCCGCTTGACCTGGTTCTCGCTCTCGATGATGAAGATGATGCGGTAGCCATTGGAGAGTGTTTAGAGAGAGAAAGCAAGAGATCTAGGAAGAGAGAGAGAGAGAGAGAGAGAGAGAGAGATTGTTTTTTCCCCTAAGGGCCCCTTAGGGCGTTTGGTTTGGCAAACCTAACGAGTCTCAAGGGCCGTTTTTATAGGTAAGTTGAGTGCCGGTGGATGGTAATTCGGTTGAAGATTAGGGGTGGTTTGGGGTTTTCACGTTTGGTGGTTTTTCTAGGCGTTGGGAATCTTATCCAACGGCTGGAGTGATAGGGACTGCGGGAAGAGGACGAAAGTTGGAGCCGCTTGCCCAACAGCTTTTACTGGGGCCAGTGCAGAGCTTGCCACGTATAAATTCTTTGGGAAACGCTAGAACTTAAAGTACGAGAAACCCAATTATGTTCTCTTAATTACGGCTTGCCATTGGCTTGTTCTTCGTGTAATGCCTCAACTGACCCGGACTTTTGGGTTTTATGCGCCCAGGTCCTTTGGATTTATTATTTTTCTATTTATGAGAATCTGTATATTTTACTTTATTTTAATAAGAAGACTGGTAGTTTTCTCAAGGAAGTTTCCTTTTCTTTTTCAAACTTTGGTATGGAATATAAAAAACAAAATAAAATAAAAGTGACTAGAATGTGCTAATTATGGAGTTGGTCTTTTTAGGTTGAATTTCAATTTCATTTCGTTCGGTGAGTGGCTCTGTTTTCCCAAAATAGTTGTGCACATCTTAGCGCTTAGCATTTTTTTATCACCGCATTAACCAAAGATATATGCCCATATATCTCATTATTAATCATAGTTAACTTTTATGTGAGAATAAATTTAAACAAAATTAAAAAGGACCCACAGCCCACCCCGACTCTTCTCTCTCTTCTTTCTCTTCCCCGCACTCTGTATATGCATCGACTTCAGGAGAGCGGTTTTCATTAGGATAAATTTGCACTCAATTTATTAGGTTTTTTTCAATGCTTAAGCTGTGAAGGTTTGGTTATACTTGCACATTTGAATCAATGTATTTCAAACTTCAATTCTGGTCTGTATTCGTATTTCCACGGATTAAGTGTATTTAAGCGTTTAAATATTGCACTGGGAGATTATTTACAAGGGTGAGCACAAACATCGACGTCCTCAGTCCAAGCGGGTAAAGGATTCTGGTGGAAATATTCAGGCGAAGAGTGAGAGAGGGAGAGACAGAGTAAGGGAGAGATTGCGGGGGAGGGAATCGAGGTGTGTACTGGCCTGCCGGCTTTTTCAATTTTGTTTTTTTATTCTTACGTACACCTTTAATTAATGTGGTAAGTTAAAAATACTCTCATTTAATTAATATGGTGAACAAAAATATTCTCATTCATTTGGTTCTTGTTTTCTTTGCCATATTTCTTTTGGCTCTTATCTTTGTTTAGAGAAATTGCAATCTTCTGATTCACTCAAAGAATCAAGAAAAAAAAAATTATAAGAGGAATAAATAATCATACACGTAGGGTTGGATCAAGACATGGGTTCAAATAACAACGTTGATATCATAAGATTATGAAAATATGGTCTAGTCCAGTGGAAAATTGTCTTAACTTGCAAATCGGTGGTGCTGGATCAGTACTTTGAGTTGGTTCAGTAGTTGGTTTACAAATTTGAAATTGGTAGTTTTCCATGCGTTAGTATTTCATTGGCTTCCCTGATCACTTATTATACACTTGCTCACATTAGATCACTCCACCACATCAAATTTAGATCTTAGATCTTAAATTTTGAAACCCTAATCTTGTTTTCCTCTATTGCTCTCTATTGTAGTCAATTCTCCTCACTTTTATCAACTGTCACAATTACACATCTATAATCAACCTTCCACATCACATAATTTGATTTGATCTCTCTAGATGTGTCAAGTCTTATCGAATTTCAAAATATTTCACAATACTGAACCATAACGAATCATTATTTTAGAGATGAAAAAATAGTTATTATAACAGATTTAGTCTTTAGTTTTTTCGCGATAACCCCAAAAAAGGGCCAAACTTGTGGAGTGTGACTAAACCCCAAGTTGTTTTGGATGATCCAAGTCATAATTAAGTTGATTGAACAATTTTTGACCAATTTGAATCCTCCCGTCCATACAATTTCATGTAGTCCAATAATATTTCGAAACATGTCATTTAATTTAACAATAAGTATGCAACTAAACATCTATTCTCTATTTATTGTTGTTAACCCAACAATGACACTTCTACTAATAGTTATTGAGTGTGAAAACGATAATCCAAGTCGCACCCTATGATCAAATCGGACCACAAGAACTAGCGTATCCTCACTTGAATCAGATTGGACCAAACTTTGATTTGGTATGGCGGGCTGGCCCGAGTCATGCCCCATGTCATGGCTCTTTCTTGACTCCGTATTATTAAGTTTTTTTTCAATTTTATAATGTGTATGCTATAAAAATAAGTAACGGTGCTTGTACGGGTACCAAGAAAAGTCTATATATAGCTCCATTTCCAATTCCCCATGTGATCGCCTATTGACCGTTGGATGTTTAAATGGCTGCTTTCATAGACCGATTCAAATTATATTGGTCAAATACGTCTTATGATTGGAGGGGTTTCCTATTCTGCCGGCAAAACATAAAACGAGAGAGAGCAGCGATTTCATTGACGGCCTAATTTATTTGATTTATTTTGGAGTAACTTAATTTGCACACATTTGTCAATGGGTCACCGACCTATAATGGAAAAACATGTTTCGCCTAACACCAGTGTTCGCATATTTTGAAACTCCTAGACACCAGTGTGCGTGAGTAAATTCCCCTCCCTCTTTATACCTTTGACTCAAAAAAAAAAAAAAAAAAAAAAAAAAAAACACAATAATCTTTGAGAAAGGTCTTAAGGCTAAAGGTGGTTATCTCTCTTTTCTACAAGAGAAGTTATATTTGTATATTATTTCATATTTGACCTTCATTATTTATAAAATAATCACTACTGCTAATGATATAACGTTGGAATTTTGGAAGAAGGTTAAGCTAATTATTATTTCCAGTCTTCACCCACTTGAAAATGGATGATGACTCATTTTACAACTGGCAGCATGTTCTGAGGATGTGATGCTCCACCACCTATGTGCTATATACTCAAATGACATTGAGACGTGGTATAAAAGAAAAGGGAGTACGTGTTTGATTTAAAACAATAATTGTTTTTTTCCTGTCGAATAATTTTACATGTTATCATTATGTCGTTAGATTGTTAATCAAAATCGTTCGTCAAATACAATTACATAGAATAGGGTTTAGGAGTTGAACCTAAAGTCTTTGAGGGAAAGGTACCTCTCTAAGGTGATAAGGTTAGGTGGTGATGACGATTGTGAGGTCAGTTCCCAATATTTATGCAGCACATATAGCTCATAGTGATGGATGGAAAGCTCCTTCTGTTTTTTTTTTGGAGTTTCACTAAAACACCCAAAATGGAGGTTGAAATTATAAAAAAATCCAACACCCAAAACACTTTATAAACACACCCAAAACCCATCATTACACACACTTAAAACCCATTTATAAACACACCCAAAAAGTTGACTTTGGGGTTGATTTTGGGTGTGTTTCTATGTTTAAATAGTGCTTGGGTTTTTTTATAAATACATGTCTAGGATTGGGTTTATTTATAAAATTGTATTTTTTTTTATAAAAAATTTCAATTCCTAACCCACATACAACCTAGCCTTGGGGGTCCTAATTAGCATTTGGCAGCTAAAGCTTAATAACAGCATTAATTATAGCCCACTTGCAAGTTTTGCCATTATATATGGCTTCAACATTCAAAGGCCAACGTCAAAGCTTAATAATTTGCTTAAAGATGAAAAAGATGCACTGCTCAATATTTTTATTTTTTATTTTTTATTTTTTGTGTGGCAGTAGTATTAACTGTTTGATTTATATATGTATGGATATGATCATATGAACGAACAATCAAGTTAAAAAGATGAGGCATACATGAAGTTAGTTAAGTTAGCTAGAACGGATGTGCTTCTCATTTTGAACTTAAATTTGAATCTCATCATCGTAATTTAGATTAAAATAAAATAAAATATCGCTTGGATTAAAAAGAAGATATATTTAACTTTGAGTGATCCAATCTATTAGATCTACTTTTTGCATATGATCCATTTGAAATCTCACAAAGGGTTAGCTAATCATTGAGGGGTTTCAAAGGGATAGATTTAACTTGTCCTATATACACAATAAGTCACTTAACATTTGTCAAATATGGATTGAGTGAAGAGGAAAACAAAGTTATTTTAAAACCAATTAACTTGGTACACATCTTTCACTAGGTCTTTGTTGTCACTTAGTGCACTTGAAGGATAAGATTATTATGAGTTTATTATAAAAACAAAGTTGAGCAAACTGCTACTATTATCATAATAATATAAGTTGAAATGTCCAAAGAAAGAGATGTGAAGGAGATAATATATTATTGAAAATATGACAACTGTGGTGATGGAAGGGACCCAAAGAAATTAAGTAGAACAAGGTTTTATTGTTTATTGTTGCATAGGGAGCATAGGCTAAGCTGTAAGTTGTTGAAGATGTGGTCTAGAAGAAAAAAGAAAGCAGCCTTTTGTTTTATTTTATTTTATTAAGTATGACCTTTAACTTTTAAGCATGTCCTAAACTTTAGGCAGCAAGCCCTTGTTCTGTTCCTTCATCAATGGTTTTCATAGGCTTCTTTGTTCATGTCCAATACAGAAGTTAGGGCATATACCATATTGATTGAACAATTCCCTGAAGCTAATTTCTTTCCTTCAACTTCAGAAATGGGAATAATATCTCTTTCTTGCCTTAAAAAAATAAAAATGAAAATATTTGAACAGATGATGCAGGTCAATGGGTATGACTTGGTTGCCACTTTGCCCTTTGGCATACTCTAGGGTCAAATGGCTCTTAAATTCTTAATGATGCTACAAGTAATGAATTGATGGAAGCAAAGAAAACTTTCTACCATCTGCTACTTCATCAGCTTTGGAT